GGGGGGGGGGGGGGGGGGGGGGGGGGGGGGGGGGGGGGGGGGGGGGGGGGACGAAGGCGGCCCTGTCGAATGTGTCCGCGTGCTGTTATTTTTTCGCCAGCAATATCCGGCGTAGGAGAAACGAGGCAAGGGCTCGTCGCCCTCCCGAAGTCCTAGATGAGCCTGGCGTCGTTGTGTCGCTTTCTCTCTCTCTCTCTCTCTTTCTCTCTTCCGCTCTTGCAGGCTACTCCGCGTCCCGAAGGCCGCTAATGTGCAAATAGAATTAAGAACTCCAAGGGCAAACCATGATCCTCCACAAATCCATATCCAGATGAGACGATGTTGTCACGAAAGGGGGCAGGGCTTGACTGGTGCGCAACTACAAATTTTTAATGAGAAGGATATGGGGGAGGGTAGGGTTTGGAGAGGAGGAGGGGGGAGGGAAGGGAAGGGGGAGGGGGGGAGAGGGGGGGTAGCAGGAGTAAACTCGAGACGAAAGGCAGTTAGCAATTGAATCCCCCCCTCCGCCCCGGAAAAATGTAAACAGTATGCCAAATTGTGATAGCTTATAACGCCACCCTATTTAATTTTTTTTTCTTTGCCGAGAGGGGGGGGGGGATGGTATATATCTTGCTTGCGTCAAAGAATTTTCGTATCGTACGCTGGGGACTCTACACCGCCAACAGACATTTGCACCGTCAATGCCAATGTTTCTCAACTGGTGGGTCGCGAAGCATCGAGAAAACAACAAGTTAAAGAGTAGGAAATGAAGAAAGATACATAATAATTTATTCAGGAATGCAAGAGTGATTCGGCTTACATTTCCTGGGCACGACCTCCCTGCAGGAATGAAAGGAAGAAAGCCTTCTTGGCTACGAACAGACGATTCTAGGAAAGGACAAGAAGAATAAAAAAAAGACCTCGGAAACGCCAGCAGATGCACTAGCGCCGGATCCATACCATATTCTCCCCCCCCTCCCCCATGAAAGCTCGACAAATGTAAACGCTTGAGATTTGAATATCCTTGGACGGGTTGCATCACATCCCCTGATGTAACCCGAATGAGCCCCCGACGCTGAAGGCATAAGGCGAATGAGAGCTGGAAGCACATCGATCCCATCTCAAAAACGGAGGAAAGCATCCTTCGCCAGACACAGCTGTAACATCCATCCCCTTGTCTCGCACGCGGGATTATATGGACCAGTCACGACCTTGCAGTGCTGTCCGTGCAGTGCTGTCCGTGCAGTGCTGTCCGTGCAGTGCTGTCCGTGCAGTGCTGTCCGTGCAGTGCTGTCTGTGCAGTGCTGGCGGGGTTCATAGCCATAGCGTTGCGATGCAGTTTTTATGGTCTACATCTGAATTTTTCCATTGAGATTCGTTCAAGTAAACATCCGTTCTCTTTATTCAAGGTTGGGATTGAACATTTTCGCGAATGGTGCATTTGGATTTCGGATGTCAAAGAAGTATATGAATCATTCGTTACTCGTCCTGTTCCCTTTATCGGTGAAGTCTTCGTAGGACTCCCACAGATTTATCGGTGGTGTTTTGGGGAACGATACATTTAAAAAAAAAAAGCAAAAAAAAAAAACATTTTTCCTTATGCAGTAGTCGAAGTTTCTTCGAGCTTGTGCTTCTGCTCTACGTTTTGCGCGCGCCCTCATTTTTGTTCATATATTTGTTACTAGCGAGTTGGTTTGCCGGATCCCTCTACGACTTTGTACTGAGTCCCCCAAAATTTTGACTCCTTTGGGGAGCCTGTAGTAGTGAATCGGCCGAATATGTACTAAATAAGTTACCGGGGGGGAGGTAGGTTCGAATTTTGAAACGCCACCTAGCCTATGACCATCCCCGAACCAAATGAGGAAGCCATGCAAAGTTTGGCCGGGCTGGGATCAGAGGTGTGACCGTGCGTGAAGGACAGACAGACAGACAAGCAAACATTCCGAAATATAATAGTATAGATGGAGACGCTCCGACCGCATTATTTATGGCTGTTCCTGTCCCTCTTGGTCGTATAAATATGGGAATCGGGTTCGGTGGGTCGTGGCAGAGAGAACCGCTGATTTATACATGAGCCGAGAGCGACGTCAGTAATCCGAACCATAAGAAATCGAAGAATGCGGGAAAGAGGGTGAAAAAAAACGTGAAAAATTCAGACTCCCCAACGATGGAAATTCCCTGCGTTAAGAAAAAAAAAAGGACTCGGTTCCCCGTATCGTATTTGCTTTAATCTTTCGGCTTTATCTTTCGTCGACGGAGGATTTACATTCTGCCTTTTCATTCGTAATTACTTCCTCCTGTTTGCATTTTTTTTTTGTTGCTCTCCCGATCGATCCCGAAAAGGTCTCCACTCTCGTTCCCCTCTCAGCCATTTCGCGCGTTTCCGGCCTGGACGTGGCAGTGATGCGCGATCGTCGATTCGATGCCGGAGGATCTGGTGGACGAGGCCTTATGCGAGGTCCGGTGCGGAGGTCGCTCGTTGTGGAGCGGGGTCTGTAAGGGCTTGCACGTGCGTCAACTGCAGTGCGACGAAAGTTGCGAAACGGCCTAGGCGGTCGTTTCGCAACAGGCAGCGTAGCGTTTCGCTATTCGGTTTTCATGATTCGTGGTGTTGGTGACTCGGTAAGCCGCAGGCAGCGGGGACAAGGGTAAGGGAAGAGAGGGAAGAGAGGGGGGGGGGGGGGGGGGGGGGGGGGGGGGGGGTGGGGGAGGGGAGGGGGGGGAGGGGGGGGGGGGGGGGGCTGGAGGGGCAGTTGCCTCCAGGGTTATCTACTGCTCCATCAAATGAAATTACTGGTGGTAGTACATTTCCAAGGTGGTGCATCCTCTGCCATGAGATTCTTGGAATGCAAAGCGTCGATATCGAACTAGATACTCGATCTAATCAGTGAAACGGAAAGGGCATCGATGTTTCTCAATCGCCCCACCATATTTCCGAACTGCCTCCCAATCTGGGAAAGGCCGGCCTGGAGGCTCCAAATATTCGACTCGACGTCGAGTCTATTCCCGACCCTGCCCGGAGGCCTATCTCCACGCTTGGGCCCGAGTCGCAGGGTCATTGCCGGGGAGGCGACCGTGGATTTGTCTCGCGTCGACGCCGAGACCAGGTCGAACTGGTTCGTGCGTTCGTGAGTGAGGTCGCCCCCTTTCCCGCTTCCGTTTTTTTTTTTTCTGTGTCCTTGCAGAGTCCCGGCTAAAGCTAACCCTTTTAGTGCCACGGGATCCATAGATAGTCGATCGAGTCGAGTCTATGGATCGGCCGCGTGACACTAAAAGGGTTAATATCCCCTTTTTCTTTTTGAAAGACCGTCGTAGGCAATCGTGATTCGTTATTCCGCAGAGAATAATGCCCGATCATGCTTTCGGGCCGCAATTCGTGACTGGAGTCAGCCAGATTTCATTCCGTCTATGGGCCCATGCAAACGGACTGTGAACAAACTGCGTTGCGACCGCTGCGACCGTCGCAGTTCGTCGCATCTGCGCATTGGTTCGTGCTGCGTATCTATCGACTGCAAGTCATGGAGTCGATAGATAATAATTTGACAGCTCTTTTGACGGAATGATTTCGGCGGTGGATGATGCCAATCATCACCATTGAATCTCCATGAGCGAGATACGTAGATATTTACGAAATAAATCGCCAAGAAAGGTCTCGATGCCATTTATATTCCTGATTATTATGCATTCTCCCCTATCCATTAATTTTAATTTTAATTCAAGTTGAGAAGCGCTTGTTCTTCGAGTGCAAATGCCTGAGTCATACCCTCTTTTAATAGAGTGCTACATGATTTATACGCATTTGAGATACACAGAGTATTTGTATGGGGTATTTGCGTTGGGAAAATACACGGTCTGAAGCTTGTGTCCTGCCCTCTCCCCCATTCTCATGGACATAGGACAAAAGCACTCCTTGTCTTCGGTGATATTTTCTACCAGAGTCGCGAATTCTCGCATCTGACGACGGGATCTGCGTCCAGGACGCACTGTCGAGAGCCTTTTCTGCGAACAGTTCTGCAGACTGCGAACTCTGAAGTACCAAAAGCGATTTTCACGGTCTGGACCTACTTCGTGTCGTCAGGAAACAGTTTCGAGAAAATTTCCCGAGTTCAAATTTTATGCGCCAGATTGATTAAATAGATTGAGAACATTGACGGGAAACGATATGAAACTTTAAACTTTTCGAAAAATCTGCATTTTTTTGCAAAAGCGTCAAACTTTACAAAAATAAGAAAAACAAAACTTTGCAAATGGCATCAATATGCCAATATCAAATCAAAATCATCAATATCAAAATGGCTTTACACGTCATGGGAAGGTCCCAAGTCTGTCAGGATGTGTAACGAGAAGATGCAGAGCCAGACGTATCCTCGTGGGGAAACCCGCTGAGTTATTGCCTTCTGTCCTCATCGCCTCATCGACCTTGTCGCTCGTCGTTGCTCCGTCGCATCCCTTCCCCCGCTTCCGTCCGCGTTGAAGGATGGCCAGGTTGTCGGACGATTGTACCGACAATATTGTTCGACAGATTGTAGAACAAGATTCTGAGTTCGGCTCGACCAGCACTGCCCAGCCGCTGGATTCCAGCATTGACGCCTTCTCCTTTCGCGGGTGAATTATTCGAGTTCACGAATGCCAAATCTTAGAGCTAGCGGATTCAAAATCGAGCAACACCTTTCGATCAGGCAACCGGACTTTCGATAAACCGAGGTCGCGGATCAAGCAACTGGCGGCGTCGGGCCGTGCATCACGGGGAAGCGCATGGGACGCAACGATGCGCTTTCTCGCTCTGATGGATATTCTTGTCCGGTCTCTATTTCCTGTTAGAGTCGAACACCAAAGCGTCAGCGATTCGATGTGGTACAAGGAAGACGTGAAAACAGCATTATTGTCTACTGATTGGGAATCACATTTTTCTCACTACGCAACGATTCTTGCTCGATTTTGCCGAAGCCACATCTTAGCCCAATCAGTGGCGTAGCGAAGAGGGGGGAGGGGGGGCTGAAGCCCCCCAAGTTTGGTTCAAGCCCCCAACTCTGGTCTAAATGCATCCGCCACCCCTCCACCCGGTCGAAGAGAAGTAAGGGACATTTTGGCCCTCCTATTGGCGAAATCCTGGCTACGCTACAGAGCCCGACTCCACCCCAACACTCAATTCTAGGTGATCCAGGATGAAACCGGAGGAAACTGTCATCGATGTCCAGCCCTGGGCGGAATAGGATGAAGAAACCCTTACGGAAGTACCAAGTACAGTCATATATATATAGGATGTACGGTATTTTGGACATATTTGACTATACAAGGTGGACAGAAAGTCTCTGAGGGGGTTTCATGCCCGTATATCTTGGGAACGGGGTGACGTAGAAATATGCTATATGCAACGTATAAAAGGTTAACTCTTAAAGTTTTATATACCTCGCCAAATCATACATCTCACACTTCCACATGCCCGCCGTCTTTGCCAAAACATGCATGATATAAGATAAATATAAATATATATATATATATATTTGTTTATTTATTTATTTATCTTATATGTTTTAAGTGGGGGACCTACCCTTCCTGAAAATTGAGCTAGGGCGAAGGTGCTGCATAGATGTCGCATAGCGTCTCTCCGCCCCTCTTTCCCCTCAGGGCTCACTCCGACTGGAATCATTTTTTTTTTAATCTATCGCCATCGGGTCTCTTATCTGATCGAGGGGAACGAATTCCCCTTCCTTCACTTTCCGCGTTCTGCATTCATCGCTTCGAGACATCGGCGTGGTCATACCGTTTCGAAACATTATGTCGTCGACCGAATTAAAAATATATATATTTAGCTAATTTGGTGCACATCACTCTAATTCTCTTGCGTCGTTCTACTGGAGACATGCTCCTCGATGCACACAAATGAGATTTGAAAGATGACTTAAAATAACCTGAAAAAAGTCGCATCACAGTGCAGATAACCTACTCTGAGATCGTAGTAGCAGGCTTTTCTCCTCATGCCAGACCTGTCATGGAAAGTGACAGGCCCGTGATGGTCATAAACCTCATTTCCTAATAGCCTAAAATTATCATTTCTCCATCTTTCCTCGACATTGCGTTTCTTGAACATGGTGATGCGGGCTCCTATTCCTTAATTTATTTAATTGTACGCAGGGGAAGTCACGGTGGCGAGAATTCTACATTTAGGTGATAGGAATAGAATAAATACATCGCATCACTCGTTACTCGGTACGTCTTCACAGATGGCGTCTTCCAACCAACTCGATTCTGAACCCGAGTGCTGGGAAGGGAGAACCTCCTTCGTGGACGTGATGAGGCGAGGGTGAGCATTCTCCCATGGAAAGAACGACTTCATTCAGTATGACCTCTCTTCTCTGACCTGTCTGTGATGATGTGAAAGGAAGTTTTCGGTATAACATGCATAAAAGTACATACTCTAAGAAAGAGATGAATACTGCCTCAAAGATGGCTCATAGGATGGAGAGGGACACCGAGTGAAACTTTCTCACGAGCGTCAGAACATTTTTGTTTGGATGCGAAACAGGGTCTATCGATAGTCAGATATCCACCCATCCACAGGAAAGAGATTTTGGCGTCTCTTTCAGCACGACGGTCAACATGAACCTATGAGCCAAAGCATGCAATTATTCAGTTCCTGATACGAAGGTTTCTGCTTCAATTTCCGCGCTGAAATATGTTTGCAGTTAGGCTTTCTCATGTTTGCTCGTCGAAGAGACCGGACTGAGTTGATGACCAACGAGAACATGACTCTAATTGCTGTGATTTCTCCCACGCGTGGATTTCAGTACGTTTGAAGATGATGAATGGTGATCTCACTATAGAAACCTTTGGAAACTTTCTTGATCAAATGAGGGCCATGATTGGGCCAGAAAAACGGAGCTATTTTCATCGTGGAAAGCTGTATGGCTCATCGACAAATGATTCCCCGATACTCGTCCCATTGAATCTCTTTTCAAATCAAAGGTCAAGAGATAGCCTAGGTTCTCTATCAGCTCCCATTGCCACTGTGTCTTTGACACGATATCGCAGGAACATTCTTGAACAAACTGTACATGACGCACTAGAGAGTTTACATTCCCGATTATATGCCGCGGACATACCCAGCCGTTTACATGGACAGGTCATCGAATACAGAAGTCATATTCGGATGAAGTCGTCGTTTCCACGCAATGGAAGGAAAAGGCCTTCACTGTCTGGTTTCTTCGCGTTTTTCCTTCCCTTCCTCCCCTGTCTAGACGTGGATCCCTCGAGGGGGAATGCTCACCCTCTGCTCTTCGCATCCATGGAGGCTCTCGCCACAACCATCCTGGGTGACCGGCTAATGGGGAACAAGAGGAGGTCGGGTCTCATTTACAACGCTTATTCCGCGATTGCTTGGGACACTTTCGCCACCTGGTTTTAGAGAATGAAACCTGACCGTTACAATGGGACTCTATGGCACAAAAGTTTTGCTCGATTTGCATGAAAACGCGTCCAATTTAGAAAGAGCCACATGGTGTATTGGCTCGTGATGAAAATCTCTTCGGGCTGATTTCGTGGTTTTGAGATCGATTTTGCCGTTTTTGAGATACAGATATTAAGTACTGACAAGTACTTGATAATAAACTTTGTACCTCACTCAATGGAAAGAGCTTCAATTCCGTAATTCATTGATATATTGCTTAGTGGGGTGAGAGGGAGTACTTTTGCAAGAGAGTGCTTTTCAATTTTCAGGTTCGAAATTAAGGGTAGAGCTCACCCTTAAGCAAAGAGCCCATGATGGCCATATTTGATATCATGTATTAAGTCTTTTTTTTTTTTTGGAGCTCCCTTACGAGAATGAATCCATTCGAGCATGAGTAGCAAGAAACGCTGTAGGAACAACGACGTGCTGCTTGAAGCTGTTGGCGATTTTTGAAATGATACATTCCAATCGATTGGTTGCAGTCATTGGTTGCGTTATGCCGAAAATTGCGAATTCCCTTTTGGAGGCTAATGAGGGGCACCGCCTGTTTTTATGCTACATTGTCTTTCATGTGGTTGTCATGATGATGAGATAGCAATTGATTATGGAATTAAGTTGTCTGCATTATTTTACGATCGAACTAGCGAGGTTGAACAGTCATTGATATATACATCTGAACGGTATGGGCAGATTCATACTTGATGCAGGTGCATACCACCCGTTCATTCGCACTTCTCGGCTTATCGCTCTGGTTCGCAGAACGCTGGCGCGGTTTCTAATCTCGTTCCCGTTGAACCATGCACTTGCTGGGCTCCACCTGAGATCGGTAGGCGGGGCCGAGGAGCGGAACAGAGGGAGCCTCCATCAAAGCCTCTTGTGCTCTCGGCTGCAGCTGAATAACAGCCGCACAGGCGGAATGTGACTGCAGTCACGTTGATTGCTTCACCTCGCGCTGGTCTCTCAGGTTTGCATCTGTGGGGTGTCTCGCGGACTAAAACGGCCATGACGTTCTTGAAACCTGTGAAAACCGAAGAACAAATATGGACAAATTCTATGCTCGAAGATGATCCTAATGGAAATTCAACAGTGGTTCGTGAAGAACATGCTCATCCTAGGTGGGGCCCGTATCACAAAGGAGCTAAGGAACTTGCCAGTCTCTACAGCAGAGGTTTGTGAAGATCGTTCTGAGCATAACAAATAGGCCTGTAAATACTGTGTATAACTTTGCCGTTAGTTTTTTAAATTTAATCTTAGGCCTAATTATAGAGTTAATTTGCGTTTGCTAAACGGATGTGGAGTGTATTTGCGTTGCAGGCATTAGCTAGAATCGGTACCTTACTAATTTGCTCTTGTTTCTGAACTGATGAATTTGGACCAACCCTGCTCTGGTGCTTTGATATGGATGGGATGCTTGAACTTTTTGGATTCAACTACCCAAACCTAGACCACCAGCATTCTAAATCTATAATCTTCAGCAAAACCTAGCATTAGATGAGGTCATGGGTGAAGTGTGGACATTCATGACATTTTTCTCTGTAAATTTCTGTTATTTGTGGTTTAGTTATGTTTGCCTTTCTTCTTATTGGGCTTATAGTTTCTCTGTTGCTTTATTCAAAATTTCATCCAATCTTGTCTCTCTTATCTTGCCTGTTTCTGCTCTCTTCCCTGAGGGCTTTAGCCCAGGAGTTTTCTGTCTCATCATCCAGAATGTACTCCTTGATCCCAAATTCCAATGTGAGAAAAATTAAATTAATACATGTCCTCTTACTCCTGCTTGGGCCTAGATGAATTGGAAATGTTTGTATGCTTATGTGGACGTGGCTTTGTGAAGAATGACAAGACATAATGGAATAGGAGAGGGAGGGGATGGTGACATGGTGAACCATGCCCATAGATTCCAATCCTGTTTACTTATAGTCCATATTTTGACAACTGAAACCCCTTCTGATAGGTAAGAGATAGGCTAGGCCTAGGATTCTTGCCTATGGCACTTCCTGTGCATGGATGTTGTAGTAAAGTGAAAATGTGTCCAACTTAACTGGAAGATGGTGTAGCTAGGTGTCTAGTGCATAAAGTTGTCTAAAGTTCCTGCATAAGGTTAGATGAAGACTTAGGCTTGGGAAAGCTGTAGTTAATGCTGGAATGAATGTATACATATTGGGCCATGTGCCATATTTCTTCTTGGAAATGTGAGGTTCTGTTAGCCTAGGCCTAAAGACACTTAATCAATACAATGACTTACAATTGTATTTGTGACACCTTGAAGATGGGCTCCATAGGCCTTATATTTCAATCATGATAGATATACTTTCACCTCATTTGATGCACCATAGAAATAATATTGTACAATGTATATGGTGATATGGATTCATTATCAAGTCACTGTATAAAGACCCAGGTCTATATCATGTGGTGCATGTGGCTGTGGCAATGAGGCCCATATTCCTTCCCTTCTATGCTAGTCATGCTAGTGTATGGCAAAAGAAAAAGATCCTTGGCTTTTGACCCTCATTACTGTGTACTTACTGAAACCATTCTTTGCAAAAATTATACTGGGCAAGGATTGATATGTTCATAACTCCCCTTAAATTTCATGTGCATTTGTTTTGAAACTGTGAGGCTATGATTCTGTATTAAAAATTAATTAGGAGTTGAAATTGCATGAGAGACTCCAGTCTCTGTAGAATGACATATTTTGAACAGTTGCTCATTCCACTGCTTTGGCATAATGAATACTCAAGTTTCACAAGGCTCATGCAAACAGATCAGCCTATGCAGGATGCAAGTTTTGTGAGAATAATAGCAGTAAGAGCATAGGTTTTATAGTTAGAATTAGGGGCTTTTTAAATTTTTATTATTTTAATTTATATTTATTTAGGTATACCCAGTATATCCTTTGTTATATCCTGGGCAACACCTATGAAGCAGTGGCCCATCCTCATATTGCATCCAAACTGTAGGGCTTCCTATCTACAAAAACTCAATTGAAGTGGCTGCTACCTTATATCAATTGAAAAATCATGCCTCCCATCTTCTGTAATAAGCCATCTACTTCTCTTATTCCTCTGCCCACATGTCCACACCCTGCCTTCCAAACCCCACTATCCATATCCTACCATGCTTGGCTTTCATACCCCTTACTCTTGACCAATTAGCTCTTTCAGTGTCATCATTTTGTTCTGTCCAATTTTTTCAAGTTCTTTTTGTACATCCAAAATGCAAGTAAATTTGGCAATATTTTTTCTTGAATATATCAACTCTAATTTGACAATTGGTTGCCATTAGGTGGATTCTCTGCTTTATGACCAGTATTTCATGATTGAGTATTTTGGCAAAGTTTACATAAAAGTTTTAAAAAAGTGTATTTTTGTCCAACTGGGTTCAAGATGAACAAAAGGGCTTTAGGAAAAAAAGTGAAAAGTGGGGGATGGCACTAGCAACAATTAGTATTTTAGCTTGAGTCATAACTGCTGGGCTACAACCTATCCATGTGAATCACTGACAAATGGTAGGGATATAAGCAGACTTCACATTTTTCAGTGCATGCACTTCATAGACTAACTGTCATATATTAATTGGCTCATGGCTGAAAGTATAAGCCTTTTCTGGTATATCATATTGACTAGTATATCTATATCATATTGACCTTATATAACTTCTATATAGTTTAGTGCAGGGGTTGGGAACCTTTTTGCCCATGTGAGCCGTATTAAGATTGAGCTAAGTGCTTGTGAGTGAAAGATTTTCAGAGCAACATAATTTTTCCTGAAGTTGGCAACAGACATATGCATTCTTTGATACATGTGAAAAATGAGGAACAACCATAATTTTTGGTCATGACTCAAATGAGCCAAATTTGGCTAATGAGCCATAGGTTCCCAACCCTTGCTTTAGTGCTTCCTATAATGCCGTACCAGCTTCACTGGGAGACACGCTCAAAAAACCACTAAATTACACAATTGTTCAGATGTCTCTGTTTCAAATGTTTTGTTGCATGGTCAGCACTTCTGTCACTGTCACATTTGTGTGGGCACAACTAAGGTAAGGATGATACAATCATTTCCCATTATTATGAGATTTTAATTCTCACTCATTGCTGCACTAACATGCAGCATTTGAGACTTTTGTATTGGCCCTTATACTTTGAATTCATGAAAGCTTATGGCCTATTTTAAGATTTTGCCTTGCTTCCATTATCTCTGGCAAGAGTCACCAGTGGCCTATGCAAAATAAGAAAGATGTTATCTATAAAAATAATTTAAAAAAATTGGTTTCTTTCTCCACTTCTGTTATTTATTTTGTCATTGTTATTTCAAATCCAGTTCTGGAAGAATAATCATCCATCTGCATGTATTCTCTTTGGTAGAACTGGGATATGACTGATTTTAAACTTTTGTCTCTGCATGAGAAATTCTTGTGAATCATAGTTTCTGTTCCTTGCTTTTCTCCCTAGGCAAGCGCACTCAAGAAGTGATTTGTGTGACTACCTGTATACTTCTCATGGTCATCAACCTGGGGTTCTTCATAAGGCACATTCACTTGGAATGCTGGAGAGGAATCCTCATATCTGGAATTTTGGGCATTCTGTCAGCTGACTTTGGCAGTGGGATGGTCCATTGGGCTGCAGACACATGGGGCTCAGTTGAACTTCCTATACTTGGAAAGGTGAAATTGAGAATACCTTCTCTCGAAATGTAATTATGAAGAGACACATTGATATGTGAAATATTCAGATAAATTATAAGAAAATATCATTATGCTTCTTAATTCTCTGGAAAAAAAGACCCCAAAAAAGAAATACCCAGAAGAAAAGCAGATTGTCTTGAAGAAAAAAGGTTCCATATTTCTTTTTGGAAAGGATAGGTACATTGAGAGTGATGTGCAGTTACACACTATGTTGCTGCCTTCTTGAGAGGCAGAAAACAGAAGAAAGAAAAACATGGTAGGATTTGTACAGGATGAGGTTGAACATGGGAGAAGTGACAGCAAGAAAGATGTGTGAGTGTTTACCTGAGACTATTTACCAACTTTGGTGCTTCCAGGGTCTTAGTTAAGCCTGCTCTTCTGGAATGGTTGTATGTGGGTCTCAGATGCATTTGTTATCCTTATATTTTAAATGTTTAATCATATGAGTATTCAATCAAAAGTAATTGAATATCTGGTGCAATTCCTCTGAAAGTAACATATTCCTGAGACAAGTGGTCCATTTTGAGAGCTATATGTTTTTTTTTTTAAATAGTAAGTCTCCCTTTTCTTGGAAAAATTTATTTTTATACAAGACTGCTTTAATTGAATTAATGACTGTTTTTTTCTTATTCACAAAGCTCCCAGGTCAAGAGTGTCAATTTACATGTTTACCCTATATCCATCTGTCCAATGTTGAACTGATGTAAATTTACTTATGTGTTGTAATAAAGTTTACAATAAGTATATGTGCTTTTAGACCAGCTGTCAATTAGGATGGGTTGAACTGGAGGGTGAGGAATATACAGTGTTGGCAAAAAGTTTAGAATAGTTTTTTCAAATCTCTTTTTATCATTTTCATCTTTGAGTATATAATAAACAGCAATTACAGGTTAAGGTTTGTTCAGCTTGAGGAGAATCACTCTTTTAGTATACTAAAATACTACTTCAGTGTGATTACTGCAATAAAATGAATGTCCACTCATCACCAAAAGAAGATAACACCAAGAAGGGGGTGTGTGGTGTTAATGAAATTTTATATGCAAACTTGACTCAGTTTGCCATGAAATCAGTCAATGTTTAGCATTTTTCCACCTCTCCAGTTACCCATAATCCCACACCTTTCTTACCAACCCCTGCAGATGACCCACAAGTTCAGCCATGTTCCTGAAACAAATGAGAGAGGGATATACTTTAAGTGCTGCAGATTGTGATATTGATTTCATGCTAGAATTTACTACAGATTCTTCATCTGATCTGGGTGAGGGTGAGGGTGGTGCAGGTACATTCCACCTACAGAAAGTTAAAAAATCGCCTACAATGCACTCCTGAGTGTGCATGCAGGACTAGAAAAGTAAAACCTGATTTTTGTGCATTCTCTATGAAATGTTATTGCATCCAGATTAATTTTGCTCTCTGTATCATACCCTTAAAGTCTACTTAGTAATTATTGAGCATTTAAGATTTTTAGTTCTCATATCTTTGTTCCTGTATTTCTTTTCCTAAAACAATATTCACATTTTCGCAGACCTGGAAGAACTCTGGCAATCTAGTGGTGATCTCACTTTAAAGGTCCAGCAGTGAATTGTCTTATTTCTAATGAAGAGTTTCTGGGAATGAACGTACATTCTTTGCATGTCTGTATAGCAATAATCATCCCCTTTTTCTTGCAGAACTTTATTAGACCATTTCGGGAGCACCACATTGATCCCACATCCATCACAAGACATGACTTCATTGAAACAAATGGTGATAACTTCATGCTCTGCATCCCAGCCCTGGCTTATCTTTTGTATGAGTTCTTGGTGCGAACATCAATCGAGATACAAGAGGAGTATATGCTCTTGTCCTATCTATTCCTTCTCTCCGTCTTTGTTGCCATGACAAATCAAGTGAGTTTCATTCATCTGGCATGAAAACCCAAGTCTGTCCTAGTCAGAAATTTGGTAGATTTTGCCTCCACAATACACAGGGATACATTCATAGGCGGTGATTCATAGGGGCTCAAGGGGCTTGAGCTCCCCAAAAAGTTGGGCAGAAGGGACTCACAGCAAGGACAAGAATGGGGAATACTTGGAAAGAAGTCCAGCCTTTAAGCTCCCCAAAATTTTCTACTTTTCACCACCTATGAATACATAATCTCTGTAGCATATTCCTGCCAGAGCCTACTTGTCTTCTTGCCATTGGTCCTTGTTTCAACTGCTGATCCTATAACGATGAACAGGATGTGTGGCCAGGGATATGGATTCTGAAACTATTTATGCCAATTGTGCACTTATGAAGAAATTCTTAACCATGTAAATGGCATCAAATGTAATGTAAGGGAGGAAATAAGGGAGAACACACCTTACAAATAAAGAATTGAGTATATAGTCCTGCTTTTCTGCTCTCAATTGATGTATATTTTGTGGGAATGTTACATGCTAAATTGTTCATTCTGCCATATTTTTCAAACCCAATGAGCAGTGCATTGAGTGAGGGAAATTAAAAATTGATCTCTGGGAACTAAATTTTTTTGCCCTATAATTAATCCATTCCCCTATGTTCAAATGTAGATATTCAAGTACTCTATGGCAGGATAAATTGTTGGTTTAGGAAATCTGTGTGCATCCATCCATGTAAGATTCCTCCTAACATGTGAACTACTTCTAGATGGTGCATGCAAGAATGTTTGTACTGTTGTTTCTGAATGTAACCAAATGGATGCATGTATTTCTGGTTTGTATCATAGTTTTGAACCTCTCCATATTAAGTTGTGCCTGTGAAAAATGGGAATTTGCCATGCAAAATTTAAAAAAAAATTGAATTATGTGTCCATTCCTTATTATTCAGGAAGGATGCGTAAGTCTGAAATACCCATTAATTTTGAAGAAGCAGAGAAGGATGATATATGCAGTTGTACAGTAGACCCAATTTCTTGCAAGTATGACAAAGCATAAATATGCAATTCTGAAAATGCAATTTAAAAAATATATAAAAAGCCTTCACGGTGTTCAGAGAAATTTAAAAAAGTTGGTATGTCTTTATTTCAATGCAGACATGGCTGAAAGACACAAGTGCAGTACTGTTGTAAAGTGCATAGCTAGAAGTTCTTTTTATGTCCATTATTGGGTATGCTCATGACTAATGCAGGTTTATGTAACCTAATCAGAGCCTGATGGCAATAGGTCTTATTATGCATCACCTCTGAAATACAGTTTGTGTCTCCACTGGTGGAATCTTGTGGAATCACTTCCATGATTTGATTAATTTTGGCCTTCAGCATGGCAAGATCTTGAGAAAAAGAATTAATCCTTTTTGTAGTGACTTCCAATGAAAAAGTGAGAGAGAATTAACCGGGGAGTTTCTCCACCTCATGCATTTTGCAATGGCAGAAGTTCAGATGCTGAAAATGTGGTTGACCCAGTTAAGGGGTTAAGTATGGAGAGCAGGAAGATCAGTTTTGATCATGTACATACCTAATTGTACTTGTGAAAAACTCCCTGGCTTGCACTTTACCCTGATATTCCATTAGTATAGTTCAGCCACGTCTGCATTAATGTAAAGGTCTTCTGAATTGGTGTATTTCTTGAACACCAAGTACTCTCTAAAATTTGGAATTTTACAACCCTATTCAGAGGGCACAGCATTTTGCAGTATTAGTGAATTCTTGCTAATGGTTCCAGCCTATCAGGAAGCCCCAGACCAATCATCTGAAATGTTCTAAAGAACTCTACACAGGTGAGGGACATAAGTGTGCCCCACTGCTTATTCTTTGAAGATTTTTAGAGTATATCAATATTTGTTCTTTTGTCTGCTGAATTATGTCTTCGCTATTGAAATTCATGTTTATAATGGTTATCATGTTAACTGCTTCCTTCAAAGTGAAATCACAAGGAAAATGCATGTCCAAATGGCATATCTGGTAAAAGTTGATGTTTTGCAAGTTTTGCTAGTGTTAGCTGTTAATGTCATGCCTTGGTTGCAAAACATAATAATGAATGTCTTAACTTCAAGCTATCATAATAAATATTTCTTTAACTGGCAGGTTCCCATGTATAGTGTCATAATTACAGGGGTGGTCAAATTCTTCATATACCAAGTGTTTTCATGGTAATTTAAAGATTTTGTTTGTCACCTGTGTTCCCGTTATGAAAGCGCCCAAAAGGTTTTCAGACCTAAGTATTTGGAATGTTTAATTTTTTCCCTGTAAGCAAGAAATTAATAATGCTGATTCTTCATTTCAACAGATCCACAAGTGGTCTCATACATATGGAAATCTGCCTAAATGGGTCCAGGTATTACAGAGAAGTCATATCATCCTTCCACAGCGTCATCATCGAATTCATCATGTTACTCCACATGATACTTATTTCTGCATCACAACTGGGTGGCTTAACTGGCCACTAGACAAATGTAATTTTTGGGCAGCAATGGAATGGTTCATTGAGAGAACATCTGGAGCGAGGCCTCGGGCAGATGACCTGAAGTGGACTCAAAAAAGAGACTGAGCTTTGCTGTGTTTTTAGTCTTCTTTTTACCTCCATTGAGGAAAACGCTTTCGCTAGCCTTTATACACTGAAAAGTCCTATCTGGTCATGCTCATGCCTGGATAATGATTTTAATTACCCTAAGATCAATATCAACTTCCTAAAATCTCGTCATGACATAATGACCAGATGCCTTTTCAAGGGGGTACTCCTTGACATTTCACATGGCTTCCTGATGTATTTGATTTCTCTGTTTCCAAAAGTTTTCTTTTTTCCCTCTGGTGTTCCTTCAGTATCCTTTTTCCTTTTAGCACTGTTAACACTTTCATGCCAGATGGGGATAATTTTCATCATTCTTATGTAATCCTTGTAAATGCAGTGCAATGTCTTTCCAATCATATTGTTTATTTGGTTTTAATATCACAGTCAAGTTCATTTGCAGTGTTAGTGACTGCATATACATGACAGTTCTTTTATTATCTATTCATCTGCTACTGTTTCAAGTGTGATTCTGTTGGCATTGGCTGCTCCATCAATAGGCTTAATGATTGTGATGAATTCATTCATGTTGGAAAGTGTGCGTTCATGTCGGAAACTGTATGTGACACTGTCAGAGGTGTGGTTACACCTAGTTGTGAACGGTGCTGTGGCTACTGAACTGGAGGTCAGGAGCCTTAAATGATGCTTCCTTAATTTTCAAAATCTCATTGGTTCTTCATGATCAAAACTCTTGACATATCTTTGAAATGCCTGGGGATTCTCCTGAGCTCTCCGAATACAGTTGGTTAAATTGATGCTTTTTAAGACAATAGTTTTATAGTAAAATGTAGTCCTCTTGGTCTTGCAGTCCATGTAAGAGGCTAATCCACATGTACCACCTTTCATGGCTGGCTGGCTTGGAGCTGACTGCCATTCAAGTAATTCATCTCTCCTTTGCATTGCACAGTGGATTGAAATGAGAATAAGAATGCTGTGTCACAATGAAGTGCCTACATTTGAAGTGGGCAGTAAATATAATGTGATGCTTTTGGCCAGTAAATCACATGATGATTGCATTTATTTATTTTGCATGAGTTTTTCCTCATTGTCATTTTGCAGACATCAAGCATTCAATACAGCTTGTGTACTTCTTTTGGGTTCACAAAGTTCTTGCATACTTTAGACCCAAGTCTCCGCTAAGGCAGAGTAAACCGATAATTTAATCTTAACAGTTTAATTGTATATATACTGCCTTAATAAGTTTTCCTTATTTGTGAAGCTATGGTTTATGGTTACATTGAATGAGTCCATGGGTTTGAAATATGTGCTTGGCTCTGCTCAGGCAAGTGGAGTATCTAAAGGTTGGTTCAGTTTAAAAGTCTTCCTCCCTAATACAATGGAGTTTGCTACTGTGGAGCACCTTGAACTGCATCAAAATCTACATGGCGTGTTTTCCTTGTGTTATGTATAGTATGCCCTTCTCATTGACAATTTACAGAATTGAAAGGAATCATCACCATTTGGCAATTTCTGACTCCAATGCATGCCACAGCATGTACTATATTGTACCACAAACTTAGTTACTGTAGATCCAATGGAGAAAATATGAGCTTAGTCAGTTGGTGACTATTAAGTTTTCAGTTATGCATCTGCAGTAGTGGGTTTTTTCCTCAGTGGGAAAGGGTTTGTATTTATTGTGAACAGTTTGACTTGATAAAACTATAACACATGCCAGATTCTATGTAAAACCATCAGTTATGTCAAACACACAAATGAGGACAAATAGACTCTGCCACTGAGTAGAAAGATTATTGACCACAGGAATCCACTGGTGATGCATTGTGGTTCTGATGACTACTGGATAGGTTCAGGTGCTTCATGGTATTGAATATCTTGATGTTAGGAAAGAAAACTTTTCAAATTGACCTAGCTTGGAGATACTCTGTTAACCTATATTGCATACCAATAGTGATTTTTCTCATCCATATCTTTTTGAAATTTCACTGAACAACAACAAGGTTTGATTGGAGGGCTGGAGATGTGGAGGTCCTCTCAGTCAACATGAATCTAATTCCACCAACCCTGTTGAACAGCAGGCATGTAAAGTGAACAGATCAAAATCTTTGTGTCTTCCTGGAATCAGGAAAGTCCTTTTTCAAAACAGAAGTGTCTCAAACTCAGCACTTTTTCAAACTCACCAGGATTGAAACTGAAAATTATGCATATCATGCTATTCTGATGGATAATTACAAAATTGTCATTGGCAAATCCATGTGGTGTTTAAAAAAAAGAAAAGAAACTTGGAATTAAAATTCCTCAATGTGCAGTGAGATGTCATTTTAGTTCACACATCCCACCCTGGTCAATTACTGCAATTTTTTTAAGTAAAAGCCATTTCAGTTCGACAAACAGCAAATCATAGATGACAATGAATCATTCACTGCCTCCCCCTATGTTTCCTTTTCTAATTTGTTGATGGAGACTGTTCAGCACCTGTAGTGATATGCTATTTGTCAGTTATCCAGTATGATAAATCAAGATTCTTATAAGAAAGCAGGAAGTGTTCTTTAGATGCTCAGCTACTTTTGCTTCACTTCTAGCTTCAGATAAACTTCTATCTCCTACAATTGGCATCATTGCCAGGCTGCTTCTGCCTTAAAAGTGCATACATTTGTACCAAAACTTTGATTGATATTGATGCATAGCAGTAGGTAGGAGGTAACAACATAATGAGTGCCAAATGAATATTTTGGACATTACATTTCCACTGCATTGAGGAACTTATGTCCAAGTTTGTTTTTTTAACATCCTCTATGTGTACAACTAACTTTGAGGAGTTGATCATTTATCTCATCACTTAGTTACTTTCATTTCTATATCTAGTTAAGATGAACCCTTTGATGCTTTCCCCCAAAACACATGAATATTAGGACATTTTGATCATCAAATGAAAAGACAGGTGTATACAGATGCTTCCAATAGTGTTCTATTAGTCATATGTTTATGGAATGGGATACTAGCTCATTTGGAAAATTTGATGTGTATTAGCTTGGTGCAAAGGGTGAATTTGGTTACTGGAATATGTGCACCCTAAATTATGGAAAAGGTTTCCATTTCATTTTGGTTTTTATTGTGGTAGAGGAATTTAGAGGTCATATCATTCAATCTTACTGTACTGAGTTTTAGTTCCTGTGCTCTATCTAGCTCAAAGCAGGAAGCATGTTTTCACCATTTGGTTGGGTTTATGGATTTTCTAAAAATAAGTAGGCCTTTTGCTGAAGCTGAAAAATTAAAGGAAATAGTTGTTCTCAAAAATATTTACTTTGTGAAGCTGCAATTTTTTTAGCAGGGCTGAGCCCAGATCAAATATGTGTCGATGAGTTCCACATTAATGTCATTGGTAATGCCACAATAATTTTAAAATATGATGGTGGAAAACTGCTTGTAGAGATGGTTCAAATAGTAAGTGCCTGGTTGGAGGCCCACTTGCTTTTGAAGTGGCCTCTGCTCCTGTATATAGGCAGTACTGCTTGAGTGATGCACATAATGTGAACATGGGAAAGATGGAGCACAGGAGGATATCTTTTCTCTTATTCTTTGTTGTCTTCATTTTCTTATTGTAATTGACAGTACCTCCAGTTTGTTTCCTGGCTATTCTTCTGATGAATCTGTCTGTCTGTGATATGACAATGAGAACAATGAACCTAATCTGACAAGCAACCTCATCTGCAGTCACCTGAAACAGTACAGCACTATGGTCTGGCTTCCAACATGATGATATTGAATGCTAAAGATGAAAGGCTTTCACTTGGATGGAATTAATTTCTTGTTTGATTTTGTTGGTAGTTGTAACAATATCTTGAGTTCAGGGAAAGAGTTTGTCTTGCTTTGGCAAGGATGAAGAGGACCAAAGAAGATGTCACACTGCATGTCTCTTCCAATGTGATCCTGCAAAGAGATGTTTTTTGTTTTACTTTTGGCTTGAACAAAATTCAGGAAGTGTGTTCTTTAAAGAATATGTTTATATTAAAATATTAGCAGCATTGATGTAATCAAAGTACTTTTTTGGGGGGAACCTTGATGGGGAGAAGTGTCGTGTCTTAGAGGACTTTGGTATCTGCTCTGTTGACCCTTCATACCTCTGTGTGCGCATTGTAATGAGTCCATTCCCCAGTGCATAATATAACAGACTAAACTGAGAGTAACAAAACTAAGGGTGTCTAAACTGAGTCTCATCATCAAGTCCACTAAACTGGAGTTCAAAAATAGGTTTCATCACCTATTTAGCTTTGCAATGCCTTCAATCCCATACGAGTTGAGATTCTCAACAGCAAACGAGTGCAGTATTTTAACCACTTATGATGATCCACTGTGAGTCATTGTTTCATGGTCTGGAGCATGTTAAGTGTTAGTAGTGGTGTCTTTCAGAGAGCAGCTGCCTTTTTTTTTTTTTGCAGGCTCTAGCAATCAGCTAGTCATGTCTTTTATTTGGATTTTTTATTTTGTGCAGCAGTAGTGAAGATCAGATCAGATTCTCAGTTGCTGCTTGATTGGTAATTACTTTCCCATCTGATATTGAAAAGGACTTTTTGGGGCTGGTGTCAAATGTCAACATGAATCCAGTAACATAAGTTCATAAAAATGTTAACTCACATGTTGAGGGTTATTTTACCTACCTGACTGAGAAATATTCACATTGGATTGCTTCTTTGGTGACTCCTCATTACAACATAAGAGCACATGTGATGTATCAGATTCATTTGGTATTTTGGTTGCATCTTTTTATTATTTTTTGCCTAATACAACTTTTCGTGTGGATTGTGGAATGCTCAATTTGTGCCAAAAACCCAAAGATGTCCTTCCTCCATGTTTGATGAATAAAATTGCAATGATTTCTGGTATGGGCTGGAGTAACTATCTATTTTTACATGCCATGGACATTGGACACTTGCAGCAAAAATCAAGGCAGACAAACCCTGCCTTTGGTGAAATGCTGTCAATATTCTGGAATTTTCTGCATTGGTGTAAAGGCTTGTAAGTTTAATTATAAAATGTGGCTGCCGGTTAAAGTGTAATTTAAACTTTGGCATAAGAGACTAGTGGTATTGTCACTGATAAGCACATATAGAACAAGTGACAACTTAGCTTCTTGGGTTTGCTGAGCTCTCATTCTCATCCATGGCAAGATTGATCAGTTCTGCTTAATTCCTGCTTGTGTCATGCTTGACTTTGGCTGATCAGCTTTAGCTATGTTATAAGTCTGTCACTCAATACCTTTGGAATTATGCTTCTGATCTTTGTACAGGGCTAGAATTGTGTGATCCTTAAATTTCACAATTAATATTGTCCTTTTTTTTTGTTGCTGCTTTTGAAAAATTTTGGTTTTTTACTGAGATAGCTGATGACTAGATATGTGTACTACATTGAATTTCTTGGTCAGGATAGCTCCTGACTGGGATTGGAAATCCCACTAAGATTCCCAACTATTTTTTACTCCGTTTGGGTTACCAGAGGGTTGAAGGCTATGGTTGGAAGGGACTTCAAAGGGGTGTTAGCTACAAATAAAACTTGGCCAGAATTTAGACTTGTATGAAATTTTTTTTCATTTCTCCAAGCACAGTCCATTAAAATTTCAACAAAATTTCTTGTTTCCTAGCCTGATTATATTTGGGCTTTCCTGAGTGTATGCCAATAGCTGAACCTCCTCTTTTTGGCCTCACTATTATCTACAAATGAACTACATTATTCCTGTGTGCTTCAATCTATGCCTGAAAAAGGTAAATGAGACAAAATGACAACTAAGACTGATTTCAAAACCCCAGTCCAGTCACAGTTCAGTTTCAGTTCAGTTCCAGTTTTAGTTCAGTCGCAGTTCCAGTTGGGATTTTATTATGTGAATAGTTGCTTAGACCACAGTGGAACTACAGTCAGACTATAGTCTGAACTGAAACTAGAACCAAACTGCAACTGAACTGCCGTTTTGAAATCAACCTAAATAGAGAATAAGTCTGAAATTTAAAAGCTTTTATTTCATTCATGTTTGTAGTGTCTGTATATTTAGTTTGCTCTTGCCTCCATTCTTCAATTTCAGTATTTTCTAGATTCACTCATGTATTCACCACAGCAATCCTGATGGCCAGGTCATGAAAAATATGCTGCCATAACTCAAGACAATAAATTATGTACCTTAGTATTAGCCTGGGACCTGTTCCTATATTGGATGCAAGAGTACTCTTCTTGACTTTTGCTGAAGAAGTAGCAGGATGCATCACTTTCATTACTTTGACATCTAGCATGCACACCAAAGTCATTTAATGTCATGTTTGACTATTCTTCATCATGTCATATCCTCTGCCTACTTTTGAGGTTGAAGTTTTTATAGTCAGAGACACTTTAACAACTTTTCTACATTGACTTCAAATATTTATCTGTAGCAGGAATCAAGCTGAATTGAATTGTATGGTTATTTTAGAATTCCCTTAGAGCAATGATGAACTATGGAACTTTCTAATGATTTGCATCACAGAACAGTCCCAATGTACAGCACAGTTTTGCAGCTTTAAATACACTTTAAGATCACCCTTCTTCACATTCTTGCATTAGTATAAAAATGTTAAGCCACAATAGTTTATTTAGCTTGAAGATGTAATCAGAGTGGATTAGATGATTGATAGAGAGGAGGAAGTATGAGGCTTGTTCTGAAATAAATCTGTTTCCATGTCCTCTGAGTCACCCCCAAAATCCTAGCTCCTTTCTTGGAGAAATGAACTCCATCCCTACTCAGAGATGATGGATGAGGAAATACCATCTCACTTTGTGTCAAGATACTTGGCATGAGCATCCTGACACAACTTCTTTTGGTAATTAATAATCACTTCAGCTTGACTTCAAACAAAAGCTCCTTGGTCTTGTTAAGAATGGGACACATGGCTACTTCAACCCAAGGTCTGAGCATCCTTTATTCCTGCTATCACTTCTCTTGGTTCCAATGGAATACCTGTGGTCATATGGCTGGAATCTCGCACTGAGGAGGTCTACAGTTGGCATGTTGGTTGTGTTCCATGTATAGGCACCCAACAGGATGAACCGATAGGAACAAAGGAATGTGAACCAAAGTGGTTTCTACCAAGGTAGTTGTCCAGATCTTTGTTTATCTAGGTCCTTACCCTCATCAGATTCTGTCTAGCACTCTCTTGGACTAATTATGCCCCAGACTTGGTTGTTTGCTATCAGTCTCTTGGTTACAAAGAGCCTACAATTGATTGCATCCATTTGTAATCTTTGAATAGCCTTTTCAGGTTGTTTAAATTTATATTTCATTTCATTAAAATGTTTGCTTCCTATTGTGTTTTTTCAATTGTAAACTATTAAAAAATATTATTTTAGCTGTTTGCCTGAATGTACCTGAAATTGCAAAATGTGTTAGAATTGGAGCTGCCCATGATGTAATTGGAATGATGAATACATGTGGATGCAGTGGACAGAGGATGGCCAATGATGATCATTTGCTTTGCTTTGGGCATTCTACATTGTAAATAATAAAGAAGTTTCATGACACTTCAGTTTCTACTGCTTAAATATTAAAAAAACACAGTTCAGTCTACTTGCATCTGGGAATCTAGTGCTTCTTTGATCTTAGTACTAAATCCTGGGGGGCAATTGATCATCAGAGACATCCAAAGATCATCAAGAAGAAAGCAATTTTGGTGCACTTCATAGGATGTGCTTGTCTCTTATTCTAAAATCTTCATTGACTCCCTTGTGTTTGTTGACAGCACTAGGAATGGATAGTGTCAGTAAATACTTTGAAGAAGGAGCCAGTCCTCTTGGAAGTCCATTTGATGAAATAGCTGAGAGCCAACAGAGTGCAAAGGTTGAAGTGGTAGATGAAAATGTGAAGAAAGTATCTGATTACTTCACAGAATGTCAGCCCAAGAATGAAGATGACAGTTTCTTCTTTGAAGAACAAGATCACATCCAAAACAGAGAAATGCCTGTGTTTCCACCTACTCATGATTGGTGGATTCCCCCAGGGGAAACACAAGATGTGCTGGATCAGCTTTATAGTGGTTCTTTAACAAAATCTAGTGTAGAAAAGAGCAAACTCTCAAACCCTAAAGTCAGTCAGGAATCTGAATTAGTGAGTTTCACTTGTAACAATTCAATTACCATATTTTGATTTTGATGCTTCCAATTGAGTTCTCTGCTTGTGATGCAGGTGCAATCACTCTATCTCTCTTTCAGAGTGATCCAGTAAAGGATCTAGCAGCAACTTTTCTGAATGTGACTGAGGACCAGAGAACAAAGTTGCCAACATTAGACTCTGTGACTCAAGATGACAGGGGGTTGTTTACTTTGATTGAAGCCGGTTGCTATGCCTCTGCTGTGAATCTTATTCATCGACTTCTTTCCATGTATGGTCAAGGTGCAAAGCATGGAACCTACCCCAGTAGGCATACACCTCATTCTATTCAAGTGAGACCAGCAAACTTTTCAAACGTTTATGGCTTTCTCATTATCCAATTGACTTGACTTCCTCAGTACCTTGATGGTTGCCTTGTTACATCTCCATAGCTGTGGTACATAAGACTGCTCCTGCTTGTTCGGCTACGTCAGTACTCTGTAGCATACAATGAAGCAGAAGCATTTGGGAACTTGTGTAGTCCAGATCTTCACTATGAGTGGTGCCCTGAGCTGCATGGAAATAAGAGAGGATCTCTAGTTCCATTTGGAATGAGGATTCTGGTTTTTCTTATGCCTGCCCTAGTTGGGCATTATACATCTGCACTGAACAAGCTCTGTCAGCTTCAACAAAATGTTCTTAAGGTGGGGAATCATAGCATCATTATGTTGTACTTTTTCTTTTATGAATTTCAAGGTTTTAAATTAATTGAGTTGAATTTTCAGGTTTTGAAGAAAGTTGAAACTGATTATGATGGACCATCCAAGAGTGATGCTGTTGATCTCTGGAAAAAGAGAGAAGAACAAGTTCTGTATGCCATAACCAACTGTGCAGTCATTCACAGAGTAAGTCCATATGCTCTGTTATTGAGGTGATTCTGAAACAGAATGCACCATGTTCTTTATTTTCATTCTAATATGACCCTTATTCCAGGACTATTTGACTGCCATTCGTCAACTCCAGAAGATTTTGGACAGAAAAGAGGATAATTGCTCAGAAGTCCATCAAGCACTGGCTTATGTGTACCTGCAACAGGGAGACCTGAAGAGTGCACAAAGACATTTTTCCATCAGTAACTGCAATCAAGATATGAATGAGGCAATCAAGGCCCTTTGTCAGCATGCTTTCAGTGATGCTTGCTCCAAATTTGCCTCTATGTCGCAAGAAAAGCCTTCAAATGCTGTGGTAGGCCTTTGTCAATTTTCTTTTATTCATTATATTATTATTTATCATTTGAATTTACTCTATTTTACTTCACTGCTCATATCCATTGTATCTCTCCTCCTAGATACTGAACAACCTAGCTGTGTGTCAGTTGTACAAAGGTTCCCTCAATGAAGCTGTTCAGACATTTGAAGGAGGTGTGCAGAAGAATCCAGAGAAATTCCTCCATGAAGTAGTCACTCTCAACCTGTGCACCATGTATGAACTGCAGTGCTCCCAGAGCTTGAAAAAAAAGCAAGCTCTTCTAGAGGGCATCTACAAGCACAAGGGTGATGGGTTTCACACCCCATCCCTCAAGCTGCAGCAGTAGCTGACATTGTCGAGTTGCATGTCCTCATCCATGGATATCTACATATTCCATTTTCAGAAGATAGTTAAACTGTCTCAGGTTTGATCCTCCCCCCGCTGCCACTCTTTGTCCCATGGTCTTTGTGTTTACAGAATGAATTTATTTATTTGGAAAGAGATAAACCCTCACCCTCTTCATTTTGCAAAGTTGCCAATATTTCTGAATCTTAACAACTTGAATTTTGTTTAAAAGTCATGAACCTTTGTGAGTAGTGAGTTTTTGGTACATAAGTGCACTGCTGGAGATTTCTTTAAATAAAGCGAGAGCCTGCTGATTCCATCAACTTCCAGGAAGACCTTCCAAGACGCGAGGAATTAGCGACTCAAGTTGAAGGCTTACGGTTTTTTTTTTTAATTGGGACATCTGCGAGGGCGATAATAAATTTTATACGACTTCATCAGCCACATGAAAGACTCATTTTGGTCGAACGATCGCTTCATCGCTTGAAGTAATATTCCTTGAATTGGATCCACGAGGCTCAGCGACCCGCATCCGATGGGACCCTCATCGATTCAATTCCTTCAATCTTCCCTCAATCCCGTGGCCGCTTCTGCATCGGCTTCACTTGGGGCGTCATCTCGTTCTTCACGAAACAGACGGAAGGGGCAAAATCTCCCAGCCCTCTGAGTGCATCGGGAATCGTTCTCCGAGAGGAACGGGGCTCCGCGCGTCGAGCGGAGTGCGATCACTTGGCTTTGAAGAATCTGGGAAATTTTCTTCATTATATTCTCCGGGCACGAGTCCATGACAACCCATAAATAAGTCAATGTAAGAAGCGGTCAGAGCATTGGATGGAATCCAGAAGAATTGGCTTTGTGAGGGACCAAAAAAAGATCGAGGATCACTGGACCAAGTGTACCCACCAATCCGAGGGAAACATTACCCCGAATAATCACAAATTTATTCTCCCAAAATGAGCCTTTCCCTTCATACGGCCAACGGGACGACAAAACTTTGTCTCTACTGCCCCTAGTACTCTCAGAAGTGTAGGAAGAGGCTGCAAAGTGAGGAGAAAATCAAGAGAAAGAAACTGAAGTCTTCCACATTTTTCTTTCACAGCATCATCTCGCTTCCAAGATGCCCTCGCTTAAAATGTTCACTCGATGGCATCGGCACGAGAATGTGCAGTTGAACTTTCGTTGTCTCTGCGAATGGCCTGTTCTGCTGATGGACGAGCAAGGAGGGGCATGAAGATAACGAATTGAATAATTAAATACCTCTGAAATCTCCTTTTTTGTCGCATGACAACAGGTGATGGAATCCCCCCCCGCACGCGAAAGTCGACTCGTACGGAAGAAAGAATAAACACCGCCCTTCTCGTTGAGAGTCAAGCGTCTTTTCCTTTCTCTGACGAATTAAGAATGAGGTCAGCGACGTTCTACACGTGCGGGGAAAGCCCACTTGTTCCGGCTGTTATACGTACACAGCCTCCCATTCACAGCTGAAACGACAGAGCCGGAAAAGCAACAACGAAATCTCCGGAATCCTCATTCAACGTCGCCTCTAATCAACCCCATCTTCCGGTCATTTCAGATACGTAGTGAAAATAATAAATTACGTTCATTGATCCAATCCGTGTAATTGCGTTTCACGAAGCCCGTGACACCGAAGCTAAACTCATTTCCCCCCTCACGGACAGTGAAAAAAATAGAACCGACTCCTTTGGAAACGCAAAATTGTTCTGCAAGCCCCCCCCCCTGATCTGAACGCGGCCGAGAGCACACCGAATGAGCGAGCTGTGGCCCCGTGTCCTCCATGCACGCGGATGAGGAGCAACATGGATTCTCTAGGGAAACCTTGGAAAGCAATATCACTAGCGTTGAAAGACGTAGAAGATGACACGGAAGTCTTCTTAGCTTCTTCTCAGCCTCTTGTCTTGAAGCTCTTAGAGACGCTGACTGAGGGTGCCCAAATCACTACAGATGATTAAATTCGAAAGTGAACGCCGCTTTTCTCATGTATCAGTTTTTTTTTCCCAGCTCTTGTACAGGGTGTACCAAAATGAAAGGGACGATTACAATTTTCCTTGTTTAATTAGTTCGACAAGGATTACAAGGATGAAATAACATCGTGCATTCAAAGAAACACTTCAAGTTTCCCGGTGACATATCGTAGTTCATTTCCTGGCCGCTGCAGCGCTGTCATCACCCTTACTGTAAAATGGCGTCTCAGCAGCAAAAAAACAGCAGTGTTTGTGGTTTCGAAATCTGTGACTACAGTTCAGCGTCACTTCCGAACATTTGGCGTTGATCCACCTGACAAGAAGTCAATCAGACGTTGGTACGACGACTTCGTGAATAAAAGGCTGCATCTGTCAAGGTAAGAGCTCTGACCGGCCGTCAACAAGTGAACAACAAGTGGATCAAATCAGAGAATGCACCTATCTTACAGCGCTCTTGGGGGGAACTTCAGTGTCGCTTGGACATTTGCCGTGTAACTCGTGGTGCACGCATTGAACGCTTATAGGGAAAACTTGAAGTGTCTCTCTGCATGTTCCAAGTTATTTCATTGTTGTAACTGTTCCGGTTACTTAAATAATGAAAATTGCAATCGTCCCATTCATTTTGGTACACCCTGTATTTAAGCTATGGAACTGTGGGGGGGGGGGGGCTACCTCTGTTGAACACCAGTTATTGCCCAATTCGCATCCGTGCAGGTGTATCTTCCTGATTGGTCGGAGTTTACAAGGACTCAATGTTAAGAAGAATAGTTTTATGCTCCTCTCCTCCCGGGGCAACAATAAAAGCAAAGCGAAACAAGGGGATTCCAGTTGGAGCTTTCCAGTTACGCGCAGCCTATTCCGGACGGCCACGTTTTGCCGCAACTTCAGCGGTGATGCTGCGAACGTGGATTTTCGTTCTTAGATTTACTGCTCCTTCTTGAGCCCAAGAGACATGCCTAATGTGAATTAAGTCCACAACAAATTAGTTTCCTGCATTAATTCACAAAACATCTTCCTCGGAAGTTCTCGAATGATTAAGAAATGCATAGATATCCTTGAGAAGGTCATATTCCCAAACAGCGGGAAAAAGCAAGGCTTCCACGTTTAGTCCTGCGACCTATCTCTTCACTCGCGTAGGAGTTCAAAACCAACGGAAAAGTCCCATCATACCATTTCCGTAGCTACCATGAAAAAATCGCCGAAGAAAAGGAAGAGAGGGCGACAGTGCAAGGTGAAAGCGATGGGGATCCTTCCCCCACGAGGTCAAGTGCATCCAGGGCCGCAGTGCCGTTCGCCCTGCGGTTTTGGCTTGCGTGCTTCTGCGGTTCTGACCCGTGTTATATCGGATGTCGGATACTTTTTTTTTTCCCGCCGCGGTTGTGGATTGGAGTCCTCGGCATTCAGACTCCACTTCAATAGTCACAAATCCTCTATCCGTCTGGCACTTGCCTTGCATGTCTCAGAGTCTCACAATTTTTTTTTGGGATGATACTGAAGTGAAGAACATTGGGGGGGGGGGAAATTCCCCTCTTTATAGTGGCCACCTGTCAGAACTGGCCAATTTTAAAAAGCCTCCTTGTGGCCGTATTACACAGGTTTCACTGTACCATGAAGTGTTCTGAATTTTCTAGCATCAAATGTCAGCTCAAACTTCATGAAAAAATGCACAAATAAACCTAACACAAATTGACCAAGTACACTGCAAACTGTAAGAATAAAACAGACAACTGCTGAAAATCTCTGGAACAAAATGTATATTATTTTGAACCATGGGTTTAAAAGATCCTGAGGCATATGAATGTGGCCATCCTGCCTGAGAACAAACCACACTTTCTTAGCAATGGATAATGAATAGCTGGAGCTACCAGAGTAATAATTCTATCTGTATGTAAGAAAAATTCACCATCTGTGGAGAGGGAATGGGACCTCTACCCTTAACAATATCTAACTCAGACTTCCCAATGGGGAAGCTCAAATTTCATAATTATGGCAAAGTACAGATCTATCACTAAACATGACCATATTTGCAGATTTCAGGTTTATAGAAACCCTCACTATGATACTACTAATACATAGATGTGTTAAGGTTATTAGTCCTTCTGCATCTTGTTCTTTGGCCAATAAAATAGTCAAACTTATCAGTGAGCAAATCATATAAGCGAGAGATACCTTTAACATCCCTCCACTGAGTTGCTCGCTGTTTTGAAGGCGTTTGTCCACTGATCTCTTGATATCGCGCTGAAGGCGTCGGCCAAAGTCCCGAAACATAGTTGAACCACCAGACAGAACTATGTTATTATATAGGGGTCTTCGCACATCAATAGGGCAGTTCTGAATCACATTGTCCACCACCTCAGATATTGGAGTCATAAAGTCTGGATTCGCAAACTGTAAAGATACAATTTAACTTAAGAGTGACAAACAACATGGACATTGAGATGCACTGAGTCAGTGCTTGGACCCTCTAGGACTCACCTCAGGATGGAAGAAAATTTCTGGTCCAAGGAACCTTTCATAACCCACATCAACAGCAAAGGGCTGTTTGGTCACAGTATTGATGCTCTCATATTTTTTCATCCATTTGCTTGGATCACTGTCATACTTGGCAAACTCTTTGGCAATGTCAGGACATATGTAGCAAAATCTCTCTTTTATTGTTTTTGCAGTCTCCATGGACTGCTCAGGTGGGATGCCTGTTTCTCGCTCCCTCAAGAGAGTCTGAATGAATGAGGTGATATTTCGTCCAGCTATGGGAATGTGCTTGATGCAACTTCCAATCACATAGCCTTCCGCCTACAATAAAATAAAATATAATCAGTTAGGCATCTTGAGAACATTAATGTCTACTATCAGTAAACTTTGGTATTTAAAAATGAAGAGACTGCTTTACTCTATATGAACAAGTACATAACACAGAAAATGGGAGACAGAGCTTGCTTGTGACTCACCACAGGTATGACATGAGTAACACCATCTCCACTGTCAATTACAATGCCTGTCAGGGTTCTCTCTCCAACAGCTCTTGATGTCCATGAAGCAGCTAGTGCAAGGACTGCTTGAACAGCTATGTACAAGCCTGGCACATTGAAGGACTCAAACATAATCTCTGGAAAATAAGAAGGGCATTGTGATGAATAGGACCATGCGATCAAAACTGCAAAAATTCAAAAGAGTTGAAATCTTGAAGTGCAAACTCTTGAAGGGTGAGCAAAGGAATAGCTTTGAGGGTGTCTGGGTAGTAATACTCCAATTTTTTGAGGTGCAAGAGACTCAACTAATTGTGCCCTAGTAGGTGATTGAGCTGAATAAAATAAAAAACATGGGAACATATCAACTTTGCAGACAAGCATAGGATGGGAAAGTTTTAGAAAAAAGCAAGCTTAACTGTTCCACCCGTCTTTTTGCAGGGTGTAGGTACACTATATGGATCTAACTGGAAACAAGGCATGCCTGGTGTTTTTCTGGCACTAAAAACCATGTAAAGGCATGTACTGAAAAAAAACAAAGCTTGTTTTGAAATCATCCCATACTTCTTGATACTTGTTTTCTTTTCTTTTTTGCATCTGCTCACTTTATGAGTCTTGAGGCAATACAAGCTGGGAAGTTTATTTTACTACACAATGTGAGAAATCAAAAAACCACAAAATACAAGAGGCTCAAAGAGTTTAGCTTCATTCCCATCTTGCAAGGGCAAATTCAGAGCTAGCAGGTAAAACTCATCTGTCCTTCCTATCTTTCTTGCCTTGTGTTCATGTTTTGTTTTTTGGAATGTGCTTGACTTGATGCATGTGGAAGTGTATATCTGGGATTAATATAGGGGAGAAGCACCAGTTCGCGAACAGGGAGCCAGTTAGCGAACGAGGGTCATGAAATGCGATTTGGCCATTTGTTTCTCGAGTTACACGCTCCAGCTTTAGGGTTCTCTCTCCAACAGCTCTTGATGTCCATGAAGCAGCTAGTGCAAGGACTGCTTGAACAGCTATGTACAAGCCTGGCACATTGAAGGACTCAAACATAATCTCTGGAAAATAAGAAGGGCATTATGATGAATAAGACCATGCGATCAAAACTGCAAAAATTCAAAAGAGTTGAAATCTTGAAGGGTGAGCAAAGGAATAGCTTAGAGGGTGTCTGGGTAGTAATACTCCAATTTTTTGAGGTGCAAGAGACTCAACTAATTGTGCCCTAGTAGGTGATTGAGCTGAATATAATAAAAAAACATGGGAACATATCAACTTTGCAGACAAGCATAAGATGGGAAAGTTTTAGAAAAAAGCAAGCATAACTGTTCCACCCCAGTCTTTTTGCAGGGTGTAGGTACACTATGTGGATCTAACTGGAAACAAGGCATGCCTGGTGTTTTTCTGGCACTAAAAACCATGTAAAGGCATGTACTGAAAAATAACAAAGCTTGTTTTGAAATCATCCCATACTTCTTGATACTTGTTTTCTTTTCTTTTTTGCATCTGCTCACTTTATGAGTCTTGAGGCAATACAAGCTGGGATGTTTATTTTACTACACAATGTGAGAAATCAAAAAACCACAAAATACAAGGGGCTCAAAGAGTTTAGCTTCATTCCCATCTTGCAAGGGCAAATTCAGAGCTAGCAGGTAAAACTCATCTGTCCTTCCTATCTTTCTTGCCTTGTGTTCGTGTTTTGTTTTTTGGAATGTGCTTGACTTGATGCATGTGGAAGTGTATATCTGGGATCAATATAGGGGAGAAGCACCAGTTCGCGAACAGGGAGCCAGTTAGCAAACGAGGGTCATGAAATGCGATTTGGCCATTTGTTTCTCGAGTTACACGCTCCAGCTTTCGGTATCTGCAGAAAATGGATTGATTGATTAATTAATGCTTGGGATGGAGTGTGAAACTAGAGTAACATAACGAGGGTCATGAAATGCGATTTGGCCATTTGTTTCTCGAGTTACACGCTCCAGCTTTCAGTATCTGCAGAAAATGGATTGATTGATTAATTAATGCTTGGGATGGAGTGTGAAACTAGAGTAACAAAAGGCCAAATCGCATTTCATGACCCTTGTTCGCTAACTGGCTCCCTGTTTGCGAACTGGTGCTGCTCCCCTATATATCTTTCTTTTGAGGAGGCACAATACTAATCAGTTTTGCATTACAAATGGGGGAAGAATCTCTGTAAATTTCATTATGAGGAACAAATTATGTCTGGCAATTATAATACAATCGACTCAGCATATTGGGATATTCCTGGGACCAGTGAACTTTTTTCTATAATCCAGAGTATTCCCATAACTGAAACTAATTGCTGTATCAAATCATAAATTTGGACAGTGCAATGTTATTCCAATAAGCAGAGCATTCCATTATGCAGAGTTGACTGTAGTAAGATATGTTTAAAACATCATTGCTCACTTGATAGATGCCTAACTTGAATTTCTCTATCTGATACTTGAATTACAAGCTTTTTAACATACTGAAGCATTTCATCCTGCATTAGTTTGATCAATTTTATAAGGTATCACACTTTTACCATCAAATCATATATACAATGAATGACCCTACTCAAAAATTGAGATTGGGAATGATGAAAAAATTTCCAGGGACATATGAAGCAATATATATCATCTGGAAGGCCACTGGCACTTCTGTCACATTAAGGGTTTGATATATACTGAGTGGCTTAAAAAAAGTTCCAAACTTTGTGCGGCTGCAGACAGGACACCATGTTAAGCATCATCTTGGAGTTTTCAGTGTGTCATACCCAATATAGGTAGGTGGCTTTAGGAAAATTTCAATGAAATTCCTTGCTCTGAACAAGAGTAAGAGCTCTTTCCGTACAAGTCATTGAATGAGCAAATGTGTCAGTGCATTTTCTGGTGAGCTGCTTTGGCAATCGATCCGAGGAGGACACATCCATCAAGGACCCTTCAAGTAGTTCTTTCATAGAGTTCAGGCGTGTTCCTTTACACACTTGCTCTTTTGACATTGCATGGGAGAAAAATTGTTACTCACGTAGTTTACAACCAATTTCAATGAATTTTTTTTTACATTACCTGCAAACATCGCATGTAAAAGCCTGTAAATTTCCTGTCAATAACTCATATGGTACACCATCTACAGGCATGCAAAGTTAGAATCTTTTTTTTTGGGCTACCTGGGATATCAAGATAGGTTCTTCCAAACTGATTGTAACAGCACGAGAAGGAACCAGTTCAGTTAAGCAAGACTTACATAGAAGAATATATTTTTTATTTGCCAGGTCATGCATGGATTCAGTTAACCTCATAACTGGATATTATGCCTTTAGACATTGCCTTTCTTTCACTTAGTGGGAACACCTCAAATTTAAGGTATGTACATAAAGGAACTGATCAGTGCAACTCTTCCTCTTGTGGAACATGTGAAAATTATTATATGAAGTAGTACATTACTTGTCAGGCTCAGCAAGAGAAAATTCCTATGAGTGTAGAGGATGTTTAAATTTCCCCAGCAGGGGTTGAGGAAATGCAGAGGTTACACGTGAATGGGTGGCTTTCAAGAAGAGGTTCAATGCCCTTATGAACAATAAATTACGAAAATAGTGAGAAACATAGAAGTAGGCTAGGTAATGTTTTCACTAAAATAATTGGTAGGCATATCTTAGATGGGGAGAGAGAGGAATAATGCTCAACTTTGGCTTGGGGCATTGATATGGGTAGGCATAGGCATGCCTCTTGACATTCCTATCCAAACCTTGAACCTTAAACTCAATTTTGTTTTATGTTTAGAAAATAACTTATAAGAGACATCCTTTCTTCCAATCCTTCAACTCAATAATCTAGAGGTATGCTCCCAGCATGCAAGAAAACCATTGGGATGAACAAATTTCCCAGAATTATGCTTTTACACAATTTCTTATGAATCAAGCAGGCATAACCTTATGCAACCTAATGAAAGCAATATACAGTGTTTCAAAAGTCACTCCCACTGTTCAGGTGACTGTCGCCAAGAAATCAATGGACACAATATTGTGAAACTTGGTGTGTAGACCAATTTTACCATAGAGAAAATATACAGTAATGTCGTGGTTTATGAAGGCATTACAGTTAAACTAGATGGTACCTACGGTCCACAAATTACATAAATTTTTATAATAGCTGTTCAATGTACTTTCTTTTGTGATAGTCATCACCTCTAATTGTGACAACACATTCCACACTGCTGTTTGAAGTATGGTTGTCTGAACTGCAAAAGTGACTTTTGAAACACCCTATATAATCATAAAAAAGGACTGAAATGACAATTTTTCTAAATAAGCAGCACCTGCAGTATACTCCCGATTCTCTGGGGTGTTGAGAGGTGGTTCTGTGAGCAGGAAATAATGATCTTCAGGTTCAGCTCGTAGGTACTTGAAGATGCATTGCTCCCAAAACCTTTCCATTAGGTCCCAATCCTCCACTATGCCATGCCGTACTGGATACTATAGAATAAGTCATAGCAGAAAATTAAGCACAAAATTGTTCATCCCTCATTCCCAATAAATATTGCAACATCTCAGGGACTCCTATAGATGCCAAGATAAATATGAACTGCTGCATGCCTACCTTGATGGCATAACCACCAGCCTCAAATGCTTCATCTCCAATGAAGAAGTCTAGGTCATCCACTCCTTTTGTCACCCTCCTGGAGGCCTGGTCACCAACTTTGGCAATCTCTTTTATTGCAATTGCTGAGGGAATGATGAACTGAGGTTCTTTGTTCCCTGCAAATCCAAGCTTGGTGTAGCTGCAACAAGGAACAGATGATATAAGGATGATATACGATAAGGATGAAGGAAAAAAAACCTGAATATGGGGCTGAGTGAAAAATGAACCATTTAAGGAGTTTCATTAGGAGAATGAACTGAAGCAGTCAAAACAAGAGCATTGCAAAAGGCAAAGAAAGCCATGAATTTGAGGCAATGCATGCCAATATAATTAATCTCAAAATGTCTCAAAAAAGTCGCAAAATGTTTCCCAGAACAAAGAAAATGTTAACTGGTTTGCATCAAGCCTGGCACATTTTACAAGGTGGATCAACATAGATATCATCTACCTCAACAACAAAAAAACTATACTTACTTCCAGACCAATGTGATGTGACCACTTAGTCTTACTTCACAAGTAAAAGCTGTACATTTACAGCAATGTGGAGACTGAGATACTGTAGGCTTCAGAAATATTCACAAAGTACAATTGAGTGATGAAATATTGCAGTAGTATTAGGGAAACTCAATAAACCCTTTCAATGCCGAGTTTTTGTAGCTCTATTGGGTAATGCAGTGAGTATACTCGTCTGCAGCATGGAAAGGGTTAAGAACCATTCCCTACCCAAAAGTTACAATGATTGGCAAAGTCAGATCTCAATTTATAACAATTCTGAGCAACTATGAGGATTTGAACAATATAGTCTGAGCGATAGAGTCCACAATACCAGCGAAGTCACAAGGTAGATTTATACCAGGGATAACATGTCAACCAGTCAACATCCCATCCTTTGTTTCTACTAGCATAAAAGTTACTAGTTAAGCCAGAATGCTGAAACCAACACTAGTTCACCCAATCCTTCAAGAATCCATGAACTTCTATGGGAGAAGAAGAGCCCTTGAGCTTAAAGACCCCATCATTTCACCCGAATTAATTTTCACTTCTATGTGTTCATGTGGTTCATTGCGGCCGCAGCCTGTTACACAGAACGAGCTTGTAGCAAAAGGTCTTGTTGAGCTGGTTGCAGAAAGCCTCCACACCTTCAAGGGAAAAATGCCCAAATTTGCTTTGTGCCATTGATGCAAGCTGCTTTGTTGTCCTTGGTCAGTTGGTGCAGTACCCAAACTGATGCCATGTTGCACAGTTGCAGGTCTTGTATGAGCACTTCATGGACCAATGTCCAATTGCCAATGTCAAGTCCCTCATCCAGCTCTCAAATAGTCACTAGGCAGTCTTCATCCACCAGCTCTCGCACCATCTCGACAAGCTCTGGTGTCTGGGTGGACCTTAGACAGCTACTGTGGGGCTGGTCAAGAAAGGAAGGCTCCTCCTCCTTTTCAGCTGCTTCTCAGAAGCTGCTGAACCACCTGAAGACAGTAGACTTGACATACACGAGGACCAGTTCTGTGTAACAGGCAGCAGCTGCAATGTCAAGTTTGAACCACGTGAACACATAACACATTGAAGTGCATTCATGTGGTTCTCAGCGCTTGTAGCCATATCCAAATTAGTGAAAACAGCCCACATTGCACTGAGCTTATAGAGCTGTCTTTTGAGGTCTGCTCTGTAAGCACTTCTCAACGGATTGACTTGAAAATCAGCAATCACAGAGATTACATATTGACCTAAATGTCTGAGCAGTGGGAAGTGCATTACATGTAGAGTTACAAATTTACATGCGGTTCTCATTACTTTCCAGACAACTGAAGTAGTTTCCAAAGACTTCTCCAAGGTTTCCCTGGCTGAAACTTTATCTCAACCTGTGGCTTTTCAGAATGTAAGCTATTTCATTTTCTGTGGAATGGCCCTTCTTTGGAAATATTGAACACTATTAGAATAGGGCATTTACCAGTCTGCATTTTTGATTGACTGGTTTTCCACAGAGAATTTAAATATTCTCATCTAATCGATGCTGAGGCATTAGGCTTAGTAATAACTGATTTGCAATGAAAACCACAAAAGGCCTAACCTATGGAACCTGTTAGCCACTGGCTCATATCAAAAAGCTAAGCCTAGCAAGTAAGATTTAGCACTAGGCCTAATAATTCCTGGTATCGCATGAGAGCCATCAATTTTATTTTTTCTTCAACAGAAGCATGCTTCAGTGTGTGTTTGGATTAACTATTTACATTGTTAAATAGACTTATGGGCCTACTTCCCATGGTATAGTCACCAGAATGCATGCAGAGGGATTTAAATCAGTCTACAATTCCCAAATATTCAGTTTTAACATGTGAGATAACAGTTCATCCACCATTGAATCACTCTAAAACCCCTATGTAATATGGAATGAATAGGCATGGGAGTTGCTACCTGGAGGTGGCTGTCTGGTCAAATGACCTGGTTTGGCACTCATGGCATATTCTTTTTTTCAACATCAGAGGATTATCAATTCACCCAGGGAAAAAGGAAAAATCACTTTCCTGGGAGTCCCATTCTTTCTATTCTCTAGAAAGTGTAAGGACTATATAATAGCTTCAAATTAGAGATACTGGAAGATCATAATCTCATAATGAGAAATGGAGGGGAAACATGCTATAGTAACAAAATCACACTAGTGATTCACTACCATGCACAAATCCTGTTTCCACCATTCTGAAAATGTTCTTGAGAGGCTGATGCAAACAGACAGAAATTCCTTCCATTCACCTTGACCAAGATTCACCATATTAAAAAAAAATTTACTTTTGCAAGTTTCAAGGTAACCCACCATCATCAGGCACATTTTCTTTTGAAGGTCAAGGTCCTGTTATGGTAGGGGAAGGTAATGAAAAATGGTGGCATGAAATAGGAGAAGCAAGAAAAACAAAAAATAAAACCATCAAATTATTCATTAGGTCAGGGGGTAATACATACATGGCTCTTCAGAAGAGAGGATGTTCATGAATCCAAATAATTCTATGAAAGGAAACTTCTGCTTATGTTCTTGAATAATATGGTTGAGTTTGAGGTTACATGTGAGCCAATTCCATTTTCAACATATTATAAATTTTAAAATATCATGAAGTTCTGGCAATTTGTTCAAAAACAGGATCTTGTTAGCATGCATACCATGAATGCCAGACAGAAATAATAGGAGCTCACAAATACCATAGATGCTGAATGATAGACAAGTGCAAAAGCCATGCATGCACTTGAATTTTCCTCCATTCCCAATCAATATGATCTCATAAGACTGATGTAAGATGGAAAGGTGAAGTCTTATTGACTTCCAGTCAAGCAATTCTGTGACATATAATATATGCCTACAGTTAGGCATCCTAATATGTGCATGCTAGGCTTGATGCTCAACTTTTGGCATCTCATTCCATTTCTTACTTGGTCTTCATATATTTTCAAAGTAGACTGAATTGCAGAATGACTGATGCAAAAACCCTCCTGTGAGGCCACTGGAGTGAATGCAGCACTCATCACAAGCAGTTTTTATTAAAGGTTTTGGAGGCTAATGACTTTATGCAAGATAGAAAATAACTTAAAGTCTAATGTACAGGGTGTTCCAAAAGTTGCTGTGCAGTGGAATTCATGGAAGCAAAATGATACTGAATTATTATACAGGAAGGCCCATAAGTCCTATATGGTTGTAATAAAAGTAAAGAAAAGGGTCAGCAGCAATTTGTACTGGGTTGGAAAGAAAGTCTTGCAACACTTTCTAAAACTATTTATAAAAATTTTTCAAAGGAATGATGGGCAGGGCTTTGCATTTGCATATGCTGGAATGTTCTCGAAGCTTCTGCCCTCGGGGTATATAAGGCGGCTTCTGCTATCAGTTGGCAGCCATGGCTCCGATTGAACAAGCAACTTAATGTTCTCGAAGCTTCTGCCCTCGGGGTATATAAGGCAGCTTCTGCCATCAGTTGGCAGCCATGGCTCCGATTGAACAAGCAACTCTTCGCCCCATCGTCTACTACGAGTTCCTCCAAGGACACTCTGCGAGAGCCGCAGCGGACAACATCTGTGCTGCATTCAAGGGCAAAGTCGTCCACTATTCCGCAGTGTATCGATGGCTCCAACGCTTTGAATCTGACGACACGACCTTTGGAGATCGACCACGCTCAGGACGTCCATCTACAGTCAATGACGAAGCCCTGCGGAACGTCCTCGACGCGAAGCCGAACGCCACCACTCACGAATTGGCGACTACACTTGGAGTCATCCATATGGCCATCGGCAACCATCTGAACAACCTTGGCTATCGGAAGGTTTACTCGACATGGGTCCCTCATCAGCTCAGTGACTCTGACAAAGCAAGCCGTGTCAGTGTCTGCGAATCACTGCTCCTTCGTCCGCACAGAAAGGACCTTCTGAAGGAAATCGTTACTGGAGATGAGAGCTGGGTCCTCTACATCAACCATACTCGCAAGAGTCAGTGGCTTCCACGAGGAGAATTGCCACCACATGAACCGAAACCAGGGTTCCACAAGAAGGTTCTTCTCTGCTGTTGGTGGGATTCAGAAGGAATGTTGTACTATGAGCTCCTGCCAACCGGTACCACCGTGACTGCCATCATCAACACTGCTCAACTTCAGAAGTTGGCTGGCATCATTCAAAAAGAGTGTCCCAAACGTGACAAAGTTCTCCTTCTGCGTGACAACACTCGTCCACGTGTTGTGAAGATGACTCGCCAGACAATTTCAGAACTGGGCTGGGAAGTTTTACCCCATCCAGCGTATTCTCCAGACTTGGCCCCTTCCAACTATCACTTGTTCCAAGCCCTCAAGAATCACCTGCGGGACAAGGCCTTCAACGATCAAGCAAAGCTCGAAAATGATGTTGGCCGTTTCTTCGCTTCGCAATCGCCAGAGTTCTGGGCAAAGGGCATCGAGCAGTTGGGAACATGTCATAGACAACAATGGTCATTACATTGTAGACTGAAATTGCATTCCAATAAAGTTATAAAATTTTGAAAAATGTGCACAGAGTGTTGCAAGACTTTCTTTCCAACCCAATAATTCAGGACTGATTGTCTGGGGACAGTTGCCACAGTAAATAATAAAAACCTTGACCTTGATACATTGCACATGAGTACACAGCACAGTCAGGCATAGTATTTATAGTTACAATACTTGGCCTTTCTTTCATCACCTGCTATAACCATGCAGGACTCCTCCTATGCCTCCCTGTAGAACAAAAGTATTGAGCATAAATGATGTACTTACAAGATGGTGCAAATGCTTGATGGAATGAGTAGTCTTTTATGTCTTTTATAATGTGTGACAGACATTCCACTACAAAATACAGATTCATGTGCAGATCCATGCACAGTGACTTTTGGATACCCCTGTATATAACCAGAAACATGAAATCTACCCATAGATTAGGTAAAGGAATGTTCTAAACATTTCCATGGTCCAATGCAATAGTGTTAATCCACTCTTTACAGAGCATGACACTGCATGTCTGCATTGATATATTTTTAGTATTCCCTCCTCTGATTTGAAAGTAAAGTCTGTTTAACTTCCAAGCATTATGCTCACAGTTATACTGGTCAGACATTCAGTGATTACCAAATAGCTCAATCCTTCCAACAGCTCTTAGAGCCTGTCAGCTTCAGGAGTAAAATTAGGAGATAGCTATATATTCAACCCTTTATGGTCCATATTATTGGTAACACCATGGAGATAGTTGGATTATGTTGAACAGTGGATTGCAAAGGGTTAAATTCCAAAGTCAATTTTCATACATTTGCCAAAAACATTTTGTGTAAAATCCACTGCTTCAATTTATAAAAGGCTCAATTCACTTAGTAAATCCACAAAATCATTTTTATTGCACTGTATGTGCCTTGGCATAGTCATTCCTTCTACAACAAGGTATGTAGTTTTCCTAGATTGACCCCCATTCATACATATCATACTTTTCTATAAGCTTTTATGTTGTATTGTGAAGTAGCAGCTTCCTGGCCCAGGAGTAGATGTTGGTCCTTGCACTTGAATAAATTTCCCACTTTCCAATTAATGACAAATGCAAGATAGCATTATTGACAACAGCACTATATAAGATTACAAGGCATTTGTTGGGTAAAAGTCAATCCAAGAACACTAATTTCAACCTTCCCCTTCTCTCAGGTAATTTCTGCACTATACATCTGCTCTTGAAGTTCGCGGTTAAAACAGACCTACTTCAAGATCCTAAGGGAATGTAGGCTAATCTGGCCCTAAGTCAAGACTAAGCTACATATCCTGGGGACTTAAAGTAGAGGCTTAAAAACTGCAACAAAAAAAAAACTTATAAACTAGCCTAACATTTTGAGCTTGATATATTGGATTGAGTGATTGCACTGCAGCACTGGGCCAATTATTTTGGCAGGCATACTGGTAAAAGTCTTCTCAAGGTAAATAGATGTTACATGATGAAGGAACATACTCCAGTAGCTCCTTGATGCTAACAAGTACTGAGCAAACTCAAAACGAAATCACTATTGTTTCGAACAAATAAAAGAAATGAGGCATAGTGAAAACAACTCACCCAGTTCCGTTATCAATGACGCATGCAGGCATACGACCAGCCATTTTAGACGACTTTATTACCAGTGCAGACCCCTTTGATGTTTTGAATTGAAGACAGGCACTATCTTCCTGAAACTCAACCTTTCACCGTTCTTTCCTTGCTTACAAGTTCAGATTGCTTCAACAGTTCGGCAAGGTACACTCAGCCTAGCTAACGTCAGAGTCAAGGCCAAGCTAAGATAATGACCCAACCTGGGCTGAGTTTAGGCCTAACAGGAAAAACTTGTCCGACTCCACGTGATGGAAGACAATCAGATGAATAACGGATCCAAATGCAGTCGTTAGCATCTGGTTTATGCTGAATGGAGGACCAAACACCAGGGATGACGTTTCTTCTCTAGTTCCAGGAAGAGCTTTCCGTGACCACAGTAAGCCTCAACACGGGCCGAAAATTGATAAGGGCCTGTATCACGGGATTCGTACAGTTCACCTAAGACTACCATCTGAGGGGTGGGCTACGTTGCATCACAAGGAGATCCTGAGAAAAGGCACCACCCTCGAATTCACGCGATGCACGCCCACCTCCCACCAGGTCATACCGGCAATGGCAGCAGGCGGGACGAGATTACGAGGAAGAAGTTCCAACAGAGAGGAAAATATAGTTCCAACATCCGCCGTTCCTGAACTGCTAAACAAGAAATACAAAATGTGAAAATCATTCCAGTCGTCAATAGAACGTGGACTAAAACCATTTAGATTAGGTACCGAAACTGTTTCGGAGGATTTTTGTTAGGTAAGCTGTGGAACGACTCCATGCGGGCACGTCGCTCCGGAGTCTGGCGAGGGAAGTCAGATCTGTGATAGTTGTCTCGCAGTATGAGGACGAGATGCGTTATCTCTGATGCATGGCGACGTGGTTGTTTCCTTCATGGTTCTGTGTCTGCACGGACCCATACATGCATGTTATTTCCATAGCGTCATACATGCATCAATCGTGTCAAATCATCTCAAGTATTGATTGTGGGCATTAGATGCATTCCTCTGGAAATTTCCTTCGGTACAACTGACATTTAGTATTATTAGGTACATCCCAGATTAGGAGAACACATCGCCGTATTTCCTATGGACAAAGCGTATAATGAGGGTTTGTGGTCTTGCTAAAACTTCTTCACTTTGACCACGTTTGTAAAATCAATTCTGAAAGAGCAGGGTGTTTTATTAAGTCAGCGAATTAGACGAACCTTACCGAGCTTCCAGAATTCCCCAAGGCGATCTGAGATTCCAAAGTGTAGGCAGTGTTGCATGAGTACTATTGAGTAGATTCCTGGTTCCTCACAATCTCTCTGTCCATGTCTGATCAGAGAAATCAGGGTTTCGCCTATATATACTGTATGTTTTCGGATCGAGTTAACGTTAGAGGGGAGGGTAAAAATTCAGTCCGAAAACATACGGGTGTATCAGCAATGCAAGGCGCCGAAGACACGAAAAAGAATCTGAAGCGTTTGTCTCTCTTCATTCTGACGTCATAATCGGATGTCTGCTTTTCTTCGCATTAAAGCCTCCCCCAGGACAGCCACGGTCTGTCGCTTCCCCCGTGGATGGCTTTGGCTCAAGGCGCCATCACACCTTCGAAGCGTATGCCAAGAACCTGGGCGGACGCGAGGAAGTTTCTCCCGTGGAGGCCTGCACTGAATAAAATATGCATTCCCAGATGCTCATTGATTTTCGGGACATTTCGTACGGATCACGAAAGTCATGTGACGAGATCACAAACTGCAAAATGAACCTATAGTCATAAAACAAAAAGTTTTGGTCGAACAAGTTCCATAACAAACTTTCAGATATCCCTGGTCAAATAGAACACACTGGAATATCGAGTTTCCCCGGGCAAATTTCAGGATCTGTACTACTCGCGATGTAGCCATTGGTAAAAGAACGCGGTGTGAATACGGTCGTAAAAGAAATACTTCTGCATTCCATAAAATCCCTATGGAATCCTTTAAAAGTTCTTCCAATTCCTGTTAAGCTCCATTTCTTTTCTCTCCCCGTCGTTCCTCTAGATTTGAAGGAGATTCCTATGATCCAGCAACACGTCATGTAACTGCAATACCTCCTAAGAGGCATGTGAAGGGTTGATGGTTTGAGTTGACAAGAGAGTGAAGTGACACTTGCGTATCAACGAAAGATGAAGCTCGACGGCTCGGGGTTTCGTCTTGTTCTCGAGACTTCATCGGGAGTACAGCCAAGTACAAGTATAGGTATCACACAATCATTGTTGGCACCTGTCAGGTGTAAAAAAAAAAAAAGTATCTGGACAGGAATCCAATTTTGTTATTGAGGCCCAGGGTGGAAGACTTTCTCAGGAAAATCTCCTTTAATCCATGAAGTTCACGGGCACTTGCATCCCGAAATCCCCCCCCCCAATGTTCTTCACTTCAGTATCATCCCAAAAAAAAATTGTGAGACTCTGAGACATGCAAGGCAAGTGCCAGACGGATAGAGGATTTGTGACTATTGAAGTGGAGTCTGAATGCCGAGGACTCCCATCCACAACCGCGGCGGGAAAAAAAAAAGTATCCGACATCCGATATAACACGGGTCAGAACCGCAGAAGCACGCAAGCCAAAACCGCAGGGCGAACGGCACTGCGGCACTGGATGCACTTGACCTCGTGGGGGAAGGATCCCCATTGCTTTCACCTTGCACTGTCTCTTCCTTTTCTTCGGCGATTTTTTCATGGTAACTACGGAAATGGTATGATGGGACTTTTCCGTTGGTTTTGAACTCCTATGCGAGTGAAGAGATAGGTCGCAGGACTAAACGTGGAAGCCGTGCTTTTTCCCGCTGTTTGGGAATATGACCTTCTCAAGGATATCTATGCATTTCTTAATCATTCGAGAACTTCCGAGGAAGATGTTTTGTGAATTAATGCAGGAAACTAATTTGTTGTGGACTTAATNCCGGAACAAGTGATAGTCGGAAGGGGCCAAGTCCAGAGAATACGCTGGATGGGGTAAAATATCCCAGCCCAGTTCCGAAATTGTCTGGCGAATCATCTTCGCAACATGTGGACGAGCGTCGTCATGCAGAAGGAGAACTTTGTCGCGTTTGGGACGCTCTTTTTGAATGATGCCAGCCAACTTCTGAAGTCGAGCAGTGTAGACGACGGCAGTCACGGTGGTACCGGTTGGCAGGAGCTCATAGTACAACATTCCTTCTGAATCCCACCAACAGGAGAGAAGAACCTTCTTCTCGTGGAACCCTGGTTTCGGTTCTGTGGCGGCAATTCTCCTTGTGGAAGCCACTGACTCTTGTGAGTATGGTTAATGTAGAGGACCCAGCTCTCATCTCCAGTAACGATTTCCTTCAGAAGGTCCTTTCTGTGCGGACGAAGGAGCAGTGATTCGCAGACACTGACACGGCTTGCTTTGTCAGAGTCGCTGAGCTGATGAGGGACCCATGTCGAGTAAACCTTCCGATAGCCGAGGTCGTTCAGATGGTTGCCGATGGCCATATGGATGACTCCAAGTGTAGTTGCCAATTCGCGAGTGGTGGCGTTCGGCTTCGCGTCAAGGACGTTTCGCAGGGCTTCGTCATCGACTGTAGATGTCCTGAGCGTGGTCAATCTCCGAAGGTCGTGTTGCCAGATTCGAAGCGTTTGAACCATTGATACACCGCGGAATAGTGGACGACTTTGCCCTTGAATGCAGCACAGATGTTGTCCGCGGCGGCTCTCGCAGAGTGTCCTTGGAGGAACTCGTAGTAGACGATGGGGCGAAGAGTTGCTTGTTCAATCGGAGCCATGGCTGCCAACTGATAGCAGAAGCCGCCTTATATACCCCGAGGGCAGAAGCTTCGAGAACATTCCAGCATATGCAAATGCAAAGCCCTGCCCATCATTCCTTTGAAAAATTTTTATAAATAGTTTTGGAAAGTGTTGCAAGACTTTCTTTCCAACCCAGTACAAATTGCTGCTGACCCTTTTCTTTACTTTTATTACAACCATATAGGACTTATGGGCCTTCCTGTATAATAATTCAGTATCATTTTGCTTCCATGAATTCCACTGCACAGCAACTTTTGGAACACCCTGTACATTAGACTTTAAGTTATTTTCTATCTTGCATAAAGTCATTAGCCTCCAAAACCTTTAATAAAAACTGCTTGTGATGAGTGCTGCATTCACTCCAGTGGCCTCACAGGAGGGTTTTTGCATCAGTCATTCTGCAATTCAGTCTACTTTGAAAATATATGAAGACCAAGTAAGAAATGGAATGAGATGCCAAAAGTTGAGCATCAAGCCTAGCATGCACCCCACAGTCCTTGGCAATTGGACATTGGTCCATGAAGTGCTCATACAAGACCTGCAACTGTGCAACATGGCATCAGTTTGAGTACTGCACCAACTGACCAAGGACAACAAAGCAGCTTGCATCAACGGCACAAAGCACATTTGGGCATTTTTTCCTTGAAGGTGTGGAGGCTTTCTGCAACCAGCTCAACAAGACCTTTTGCAACAAGCTCGTTCTGTGTAACAGGCTGCGGCCGCAATGAACCACATGAACACATAGAAGTGAAAATTCATTCTGGTGAAATGATGGGGTCTTTAAGCTCAAGGGCTCTTCTTCTCCCATAGAAGTTCATGGATTCTTGAAGGATTGGGTGAACTAGTGTTGGTTTCAGCATTCTGGCTTAACTAGTAACTTTTATGCTAGTAGAAACAAAGGATGGGATGTTGACTGGTTGACATGTTATCCCTGGTATAAATCTACCTTGTGACTTTGCTGGTATTGTGGACTCTATCGCTCTGACTATATTGTTCAAATCCTCATAGTTGCTCAGAATTGTTATAAATTGAGATCTGACTTTGCCAGTCATTGTAACTTTTGGATAGGGAATGGTTCTTAACCCTTTCCATGCTGCAGATGAGTATACTCACTGCATTACCCAATAGAGCTACAAAAACTCAGCATTGAAAGGGTTTATTGAGTTTCCCTAATACTACTGCAATATTTCATCACTCAATTGTACTTTGTGATTATTTCTGAAGCCTACAGTATCTCAGTCTCCACATCGCTGTAAATGTACAGCTTTTACTTGTGAAGTAAGACTAAGTGGTCACATCACATTGGTCTGGAAGTAAGTATAGTTTTTTTGTTGTTGAGGTAGATGATATCTATGTTGATCCACCTTGTAAAATGTGCCAGGCTTGATGCAAACCAGTTAACATTTTCTTTGTTCTGGGAAACATTTTGCGACTTTTTTGAGACATTTTGAGATTAATTATATTGGCATGCATTGCCTCAAATTCATGGCTTTCTTTGCCTTTTGCAATGCTCTTGTTTTGACTGCTTCAGTTCATTCTCCTAATGAAACTCCTTAAA